GCAGTTGGCACAAGGCAAGTGCAGAGTACAAATCCACCGCGCCCTGCCCGGCGATGAAAGATCGCACTAGGGACAGGGCAAGAGGCGGGAGCCAGCTGCTGCTGCTGCACTATTCTATGGCTAGTTAGAATTGGCCAGTAGGGGTCACCGATATCTATTTTATTTATTTTATTTTTATACATATGCATTTATAAATATACGAAACATGCATAGGCAGCAATTGTAATGGAGAAGCGTTGATGTGCACTGTATTAATCAGGTATACAGGTCGGGGCAAAGTGCCCCTACGTATGTTGGAAATACCAGTGTGAGCTGTGCATCCCTCCCTGCTCAAATGCCATGATGGCATAAAACCACCCAGCCGCGCCAAGCGCCAGGGCACTGGGATGGTGGTTTTCTGTCATTGTTCTCCAGTTCTGCCTTCATCCTCCATCCTGCATTGGCAGAGATGCTTTGAGAGGGATTAAAGAGATTCAGAGATTGAAGCCTCGGGGGCAGGATATTGTGCCTGCTTGTCTTTCTGTGCAGTGCCCAGCACAATTACACCCCAACCGCGATGGGTGCCTTTAGGCAGTCCCATAAGACAAACAGCACTTTGGATTGGGATGGGTCAGCACAGTTCTGTTCTTCAGCCACCGTTGCTGAGGATCCTGACAGCAAAACTGTTTGCCTGTGAAAAAAACCCAGGAGTTTTTTGAGGGTTGCGTCTTCATGTTAAAATTGAGCCCCAACCCTCACTCTTATGTAGCGGGATGGACTGAATTATACACATGGGTGGTGTTAGCAACTGTTTTACTGGTGGGTTGTATTTTTCTGGTGGGTTGTATTTTTCTCGTAGGTGCATGCACCAGGCATACTGGCAGGATGTGTTTGGCCATCCAATTCTGCATCCACAGACTTGTTTGCCTGTCCCAGGCTGGCTGTGCTTCGCTGTTCTTACTGTTCCAGAGAAGCAGTTGGTTTGGGGTGCTGGGTTCCTCTTGTACTGGCATCTCACAGAGTGCAAACTCTGCTCAAAATATGTCCTGGGTATTTTTTTTGGTTTTGGTGGGCTCAACCCATCCATGAAACCTCTTCTGCCTCTGAGGGTTTCCCACCTGAGGTCTGTCAGGGAATCCTCTGCGCAGCCTCTTCAGACAGCTGGAGTCACAGAAGCAGCAGAGGAGGAGAGGCTTTCCTAAGAGTCCCTTCAGGACTCCAGCATCCAAGCAGGAGGAAACAGGACTTCATGCAACTCTCAGGCAGGTGATAGCCTCCAAACCAGCCACCAAAGGGTAGTCTGGCACCTGCCATCTTCCTAGCTTGACCTGGGTTGGTGGGGAAGCCTGCACTGCCTTCTTCGAGCGAGGAGACATTGCTTCCGGCACCTACTTCTTCACCAGGCAGGACTGTAGGCACTTTATAGGGATTTGTCCCTCCACGGGGTGGCACCTGCCCCTCCAGGGGTTCCTTTTATACAGTTACAGGGGTCTATATAAAGTGCTGCCAGCTGGAAAGTATTTTGAAGAGATTCCTCCCTGCTCTTCACTAAGGGTCATAAATTCAGCTGGTATTTGAGAGAATCTCAAATGTACTTCCTGGACTGTTTGCTGGGGGCTTTACATCCGCCAGAGGCCCCTTAAAATAAAAGGATTATTGGGAGTCAAGTGTTAGATTACCTGGCGCTTGTTAATTGAACTTCAGAGGCTTTAGCGAGCAACTGGCTCTAGCAGGGAGCAGCACTTTGGCATTAATGGTGTTATATAAATGAATATAGTGTAACCTAACGTCATGCTTCCGCATCATGTCACATCTCCGGGCTCGGCGCAGTGGTGAGTCCAGCTCATGAGCATACCGGATACGGGAAAAGGCAGGGTGGATATGTGTGGAGAGAGAGGGAGAGGGATTGGGAATCAAGGCCTTCGGGATTTGAGGAAAGAGGGTTTTTCGGTGCTCAGAGCAGGTGACTGGTGTTCAGGCACCCTGAGTTCAGTTCCTGTCTCCCTTTGGCTGTCTGACCTTGGGATCTGATTTTGGGAAGAGTTAAGTTTAATGGAAGGGCTAAATGCTGAGACCATCTGAAAATCAAGCTCTCTCCTTCCTGCGGGGCTTATTTCACCTAGACTTGCAAAAAGCATGGAGATGCTAGTCTGAAAGGTCACCAAAAGAAAGCAAAGGGCTCTAATCATTGCTGCCATCAGTGCGCACCCACAGAAACCTGAACAGACCACAACTGTGGAGGCTCCAAGGCAGCAAGGCCCGGTGGAAATGAGAAACCCCATCAGCTATGAAAATTTCATCAGCTGGCGCTGTGGAAGCAAGAATCTGGAAGTGCAGAGCAGATGGGCAGCCTGGATTCTTGGAGCCATTGTCCTTCTGCTTGTTATCTGACTCCAGCACAGGGAGGATTTGGAGAATTTATGGGGGCACAAGTACCGAAGGCTTTCTTGAAATATCCCTGGCTGACGTGTGGCATGGTGCAGACGGCAGACGTTTTTTGCACAATATTCCCAAGGTCGTGGAAGCAGGGTCCTGCTGAGCACCTGTCTTTTATTGTGTAAGAGAAGGGACCCTTTGGGCAGAGTTTCAAGGGTTGCGAGCCTGGTACTACCTGAATGCAAATCTGAAGGCTTGGCTTTGTAAATGTAGTACATTGGGGAACATCTTCCAAATATTATCAGGACTTTTCTTGGCCGCGCAAATGTCCTCTGGACTAAGCTCCATTATTTACCATGTGAATATCAACTCAGGAGACATTTGTAAAAGGAACGATAATAGGGAAGGGGGGGTGGAGGGTGAGTAAGGCTGTGCACCAGGCATGAGAGGCAATGGACAAAGTACGTCTGTGAGCTCCAAGTGGAATAAATGGGGTCATTTGGCTCAAAATTAAAACTTATTGACTTCTTGAAGTCCCAAGGCTAGAACAACAGAGAGAATGATTTTGCAAATGAAGACCAAAGAGCATTACCTAAGTCGTGTCCAGGTTTGACTGGTCACATCAGTTCTTTGACTGGTACGCACTGTCCTCAGACCCTCTCCTTTAAGAAGCAGGCAGTCGTCCTTGGGGGGGTTGGGTGGATTTTTCCATTCACTGCTCTCCCCCTCTCCCTCCTTCTCCACCTGGCCCCACGGATGGGCTTATACCTCCGTAGTGACAAGCAGTGATATGCCTCAGAGCATCAGGGTGTTTCTCAGGAACTGAGGAATATAAGAAGGGGAAGGAGCTGATCCTGAACACCGCCTCCAGGTGAATTGTCCTGGCTGGCAAAGACCTGAAGAGGGCAGATCATTTGCAGTTACTGTGAGCCCAATTTGGGGTCCTGAGCGCACCCTCAGGCTCTAATCGCCATAACCAGCCGATAGTATTGTTTTTCTGTCATCTTCATCAGCTCAGAGCTGCCTCTTTTCAAGGCCTGCTCTGATACGGGACAACTGTGTAACCTCGGAAGTCGTCTGCGAGGTGACCAAGGGCTGCAAGCCCGGCTGCTCTGTTAGATCCTCCAGAAGCAAACGCAGGGGCGGGGGCAGGTTCTTCGTCCTTCCCCAGCCAGGCGAGAGGCCTCTGCCAGAGCCTCGCCGCAGAAGGCAGCTAACAGCCTGGCAGCCCACCCTGCCGCCCTAAATACATCCGAAGACATCTCAGCCCTGCCAGTGTCCTGCCTGAGGGCACGCGGGTCCTGGTTTGTTGGACCATCCCCGTGTCATGCCCTCGCTGGTGCTTTTTGGGCCGGCTTGTCTCACTGGGGAGATGTATTGACTATGAATGTTGACACAGCGTGGCATGGCGTGGCGTGACCGTTGTCCCGTGGCGTGACCCGTGTCCCCAGGCGTCCCCACGGGCAGAGCTGTGCAAAGGCCTCACGGGCACCTCTGCTCACTGGGGAGCACGGGGGGAGCCCTCGCCACAGGGCCTGCCGGGGAAGGGGCCCCAACAGCCTGGAAAAGCTTTCCCAGACAAAACGCGGACCTGACCGAAGCTGGCACCCGCCACGGCCACGGACCCCACC